GCTTGCCCTCCCCCCCCCCCCCCCCCCAGCCCCTCTGGTTACTTCGTCCCCATTGCCACTTACCTTCGGCTTTGGCTCCGGCTCCAGCCCCAACCTGGCTAGGCCCAGAGCTGCCACTGCTGCTTCTGCCTGCCCATACCAGGCTGGAATCACTGACTGTCCCCAAGCTGAAGCTGGGGCCAGAGCTGCCACAGAAGGTAAGTGTGGGGAACAGGCAGGGTGGAGGGGGACTGGCAGCATGGGTGAGGCACAAGCAAGGGGTTGGGGTAGGTTCTGGGAAGGTCAGGGCCTGTAGCAAGGGAGATGGGGGAGGGGGGGCAGGCACCAAAAAAAGGCAGCAGGGGACAAGGGGCAGTGAAGGACATTGGTCTGCCTGCCTCATAGTCAGGGGTGGGCATGGGGGGAAATTTAAGGCACCCCCCAAAAAAAGTTATAATTTTCCATGTACAGAATCTAATTATATGGGGGGGCGGGGTCTATATTAACTTCAAAGTTACCTTGGATTTGAAGAAATACAGTATTATATTTTATCTCAGCTGATAGTTATGTAATGAGATTGAGACTAGGTGTATTCAAAGAGGAACTACTCCCTTTCCTTAGCCACATAGCTTTGGGGAAGCACAATGGGAAGTATCAGCTAGAGACTCCAAGCCAGTAGAAGCAGCTGAGAGGCAGCCAAGGCAGGGACCATGACTGGACATTCTCTGCCCTGGGCTGAAAAGATTGTTTGTGCCTGTGGGACACCCTTTCCTCCCTCCCTTCTTCAGTCTCCATCTCAACTTCACTCCACATCTGTTTCTTTAACCTTTTCTCCCTTCCCTTCAGAAGTCCTCTTTGCTTTTTTCTTCTAACATACCTCTTTCCCTTCCCTCTCCTTTGTGCCAAAACAGTCATTGAATTAAAATGACATTTGCTCCCATCACATTGTTCACTTTGCTTGTGTGCTATCCCTTTCCCATCACCTGCTATCATCTAGGTCAGACCTGCAGGCTCTTCAGAGCTAGGATATTCTGCTATTCTCTGTTTAATTCGTAGAACAGTGGAGCCCCCAGAACTCCTTGGAAACTACTATGATAAACATATGTGCTAATTATAATAGGGGACTAGATTAATATCATTTGGATACAATTTTATAACCTCCAGAACTTATTAATTTCACATCTCGGATTCAAAGTATTTGAATCATTAACAATCAATGAAAAAGTCATAAAACAGAATTGGGGAAACTGATATTAATTTACACCAAATGCAGAAAGATAACTGGCTTTATAAAACTACTTTTTCCCAGAGGCGCTATTCAAGAAAATTTTATGCAATGCTTTAGTAACTTGTTAAGATGCATTTTTATGAGGCTTTCCAACCTCAAACCACAATGTACCTCTGTTATCCCATGCAAAACAGACACTCTCTTACTCATTTTCCCAATCTGAAGAGTTCAAGGTCAAAGGAGCTGAACTAAAAGCCTAAACATTTACCAAATGGAAGAATTTATGCAATTCATAAAATCCAAAGAAAAAGAAATAACAATATGCACAAAGCAGGCGTGCACACATACAGCTAACTCAACCTCTGAGGGTCCTGCTACATATTCTAATTAAAGCTAGATAGAAACCAGCTATAGAGTTGTTACACATTTTCAAGCACCAACTTTATAGCTAGCTTGGCTCTTTTTATAGCAATAATTACTTTGCACAGGTGACTAGTCTAAATGTATTGCATGATTAACCAGTTAACTGCATAATACATGCACTGTGTAGTAGGGGACTGAAAGAAGTCATGGTAATAATAATAAAAAAGGTCTACCTTATGACAGACATCAATAGCGTCAACATATCTCTTCCCTTTCAAGTAATTAAATGCCAGCTTGTATCCTGTGAATAGCAGAAATGCCAGTGAGAAGTATTATGTTTAAAATTAATTAAATAAAACATGTTCAAGTTAAGTTTTGCCTTTGGGAAATTCTTAAGAAAAAGAGCTGAAATAACTGTTTACTAACTTTGATGAACACCTTAAGACTATTTTCCAGACAGGCCACAGCCTGGGACTACCAGAAATTTCCCTGTCTTCTCCCAGTACAAAGATACGCTCAGAAACCTCAGCAAGGGGGTCTCACTACAAAATCATTCTTGCTCATTACTAATATGTAAAAATTAATACCTGTTTTCATAGAGGCAGGTTTCTAGTTCATCAAACCAGTGTATTTGTACTCTGCCACTTGGGTCTCAATTTCTCTAACCTAAATTTGTCTGTATTATATACAGCCAAGATGTTGATTATTTTGTTGAAAACACTTGTGTTCTAGATTATACACAAAAGCCATCACAACCCTTCTTTAAAAAAGCATAATGTTACTAAAGAGACTTGTAAAATGTTGCACTGTAGACAGCATTTATTTTATGCGGTACCCTCATCAAAGTCCAAAATTAAGACAAGCTGGAAAACCACCATCCTAGTGATCTAGAAGCAGACTTTTAATTGGAGGGGGTGGGAGGAGACAAAAACTATTCTGTAAGTTGTTTAGAAATATTTCTGTATAAATTAAAAAGTAGGAGCACAAAAGGTCATACTCAAATAGTAAAAAATTCATTAACCATCTCAGGTGGGCTTTTAGCAACTAAATATATCCTGAACAGCTCTCAACTGGGTACCAAATGAGCTGGAAATAAAAAAAAAGGAGTGCTTAATTTTGAAAATGTAAGTATTTAAAAAAAAATTCCAATCATCAAAATGCAACTGTAATAAGACAGTGGTAGAACTGAGCCATTACTCAGTATATCAGAGAATGATGTTTCTTCAAAATGGATACTATATTTAGAAACTGTATATTTATATATACAGACAGTGAACAATAAAAAAAGCTCCAAAGCAAGCCTTGTGGGAAGCCTGCTAGAATAGTAACCGTAAATTGCTGAGTTTCATCAAAACAAATTATTTTCTCCTGCCAGGAGTGCCCTCAAAGGTATTAAAATGTAGATCTTTAAATAGCCAAGTTTTCACATGAAGACATCTAGTGAACATATGTTACTTATTAGGAAAATGAAATACCGTCTTACCAACATTACATCACTGTTTTATTTATATTTATTGCCACAAAATGGATACAAACATACCTACTGTTGGATTTGTTTGGTTTCCATACTTCCACGCCAGCTCATAATTTACTGCTGCATCTTTATATGCTTGTTCTTTTTCCATTATGTATCCCATATACTCATAGGCTTTGCAACAGGACTACAAAATATAAATATGTATTATACATATTTCAAAAGGTTATTCAAAGAAGCCTATACAGACTGAGGCTAGGGACAGATATTCAAAAAGCCTGACTTGATTCAATCTTAGTCTAACCTGCAAAGCTTGAACCAATCTGGAGGTGAATAGACATTCCCTTTTCATTCCAGAAATGCAAGCACAGGCTTGCATTGGCTCGGGTTAGAAGCCAGGGGGCACTAGAGCCGCCCTCCCTTCCCTTCCACAGGGCTGAGCTGAGGGAGGTGTGGCCAGACCCTACCAGCAGGACACTCTGATTAGGGAGGGGTCTCCCCCCTGCCTTGCTGCTCTGAGAGAGCCAGCAGGGATTTACACAACATTTAGTTACACAGCAGGGAGTTATTAGCATTTATCACCCCATCAGCAAAACAAAGCCTCTCTCATTAGTTCAAGTGCTTCTTAAACAACTTTTTCCAAGGTAGGAATGGAGGGACATTACCAGCTACCTGCTGATTAGCTCCAAAGAGCCCTAAGCCGACACTGTCCTGTCTGCCTTTGTCCCGTCTCCCACAGCACAGACCATAGGCAGCACATGGTATACTAGCTAATGCTGTGTAAGGCAGAAGGAAGGGAAGAATCCCTGCTTGAGCAGGGAGTGGTGGTGGGGGGGGAGCAGGAGGAAGCTAGACAGACACTACTGTACCTGCCATCTCTGCCAGAGCTGCAGCCAGGGAACAGAGGGGATGGGCCAGCCCTCCTGGGCTGGAGCAGAGAGCAGAGCCCTGCCCAGCAAAGCATCTAGGATGCTAGGGGACTCTGGTTTAACTTACACCACGAAGGGGTCTGGGACAGACATTGCATAAACCAGTCTGATCCAAATCAATTAAGTCTGATAAACTTGGTTGAATGTAGTATCTCAAACCGGTTTCAGCCATTTTCAAACTGGTTTGCGTGCACTGAACATCTGTTCTGTTACAGGTTTAAACCAGTTTCTGATCACTTAAACTGGTTTATGTATAATGTCTATCCCTAGCATGTTTAAATGATTAAATATATGCATCTATACAGATAGCTTGCAAGGCATATACAGTTATACAATTGTACCAGATTCTATTAAAAAAATGGGTAGTGTTTAGAATAAAGACAAGACACAGGAATTCTGTTCACTGTTTTCATTTCAGGGTTAAAATAAGAGACTAAGAACAAGAGCTGCTCTGGGATAAGGGAGAGACGGCAAAGGGTGCGAGAAGCACCAAGCTGTACCAGTGGGCATTTTTACAATTGTTATTGCTCAGGGTAGGTGATCCATGAGGCCAGGTAAAAGTGTACAGACTTCAGGCAACTAAAACAGACTCACAATAGAAGTTATTACTCCTGTCATAGCTTATCAGTGCAAAGGGTGGTGGAACGTATTAACTAACAACTGCCCCACTGTCCTGAAATGGGGGTTATCACAATTTGGCTGCACAATGTAAAGGGCAACAAAAGTATTAGGAGGAAGGATGGCTCACTCCATTCTGGAAGAACCAACATCAGCTTACTTAAATGAAGCATTTATAGTTTATAAAAACACCACTGTTCAGTAAAAAGGATACATTTTACTAACAAACATTAAATATTTTCTGCAATGATTCTGAGATCCCTAGTCTCCAACAAATGTGTTTGTTACCCCATGACTATATCATTTTATTTTAAAGGGCTGCTTCTGATAAGAAGTTCATGACTTACTGGATATATAAATGATGATTCATGTGACTAATTTCTTAATGTCAATTTCAAGGACAGTAAAATACAATAGAAATACCCAGTGAAAATAAAGCATTGTTCATACTGCAAGGTGTTATAATATTATTTAGTTTCTTATGGCGAGATCTATTTGCATAAAGGCAAATATGTTATAAAACATACCTGCCCAGGGTACTGGATAGAAATACAAATAGAGTTGTACCTGCCTTCACTGTCAGCAGCCCAATGGACTACCAGAGAAAGTGCATGGAGCCACAGCCCATGTTCATTAAGCCTGCAATCCTTACTATTAGCTGCCTAGTCTTAACAGTAGGTGTCAAGAACAAACATTCTTCTGCTTTTATGCATAACATTTGTTGAAGAGATTTATAAATCTCTATAAAGATAGGATTTATATACAGCGGAGTTGCATCATACGCACATTTAACTTACGCGAATTCAACTATACGCAGGGTAGGAGGGGAGGTGGGGGCTTGAGTTTGCACGCGGCACTGCTGCTTACCTGGAGGCCCATTATGGTGGTGACGGCCACTGCCTCTAAAACCTGCCGCTGTCGCCATGGAGCTGTGCCCAGAGCTGTGTGCCGGCCGCTGGGCAGCAGCGAGGTGGTGGCCGGGCGAGACGCAGCCATCCTCATCACCACTGTGCGCGGCGCCGCTGCCGCCGGCCACACAGCTCTAAGCACGGCTCTGCGGTGGCGGCGGGAGGTTTTGGAGGCAGAGGGAGTCACTGCTGGCACGGTAATTTTGACTATACGTGATTTTCGCCTTACACGCTGACTTTAGAACCTAACCCCCACATAAGATGTGACTTCACTGTAATAGCAGCACATACACACTTACATATCGGTCCAAGTCCCTCAATCCAGTCCTCCCTCATCCCACTCTTCCTCTCATCTCCTCTGCATTTGAAACAAGCAGCTTCGTATTCCGTAATGCATACAATTGAAGAAGTCCTAGGTAGCCCCAGCCTGTAACATGCCCAGTGTTGATGGGCTCTAGCCTATGGAGAATTTAGCTGTTAAAAATCTAAGAAGTCTGACTATGGTCAAACTGCTGCCCCTCCTCCCCAGGTAAGTCCAATAATTTATAAGTCTTATAACTTAACAAATAGATGGGGTGCCTTGAGATCCTTCAAGGGTGCCAAGCAATGGTAGCACTGTTAGGCAAACATGATTCACAAGGTAAACCCAGGGATTTTGAACAGGAATCCATAGTTGTTGAAAACTATTTTGACCTATTATGGTCTTTGAGATCTTTGCAACAGAAAAATTGCTCTATTATTTTTCCATAGTGAAAAATGGAGTGCAATCTAAGAGCTGGAGTGCCTTGAGTCTAATGAGGGTGAGAACCACTCCCCTAATTGCTTTTCAAATAAAAAAGCTTGTTTCTTTTTTAATGGCAGCAAAACAACTTATTTTTCCTAACCTCATTCTTGGATCTGCTTGAGTTAAAGTTTTCAAGAAAATTTCAGCCTAGAGATTATGCCCAACATGAAACATTTCAGATTTAACAGTTTGGCAAAGCTATGGGCATCTGAAAATTAGATCCTATAAGAGGTAGAATCAGAAAACCTTAATTGGCAGTCCCCTAGCTCTGACACCACTGCAGCTGGTGGGGGGGATGGGACAAGTGATGAGAAGGGAAGTAATAGGGCAGGTGGTGGTGTACAGATTAGGGCAGGTGGCAGCAGTAAGGAGGCAGGAGGTGGGGGTGGCATGCAGCTTGCTCCCTGTCACCTGCCCCCCATATTCATCTTGTGCCTGCCCCTGCAGCCTTTGCCCTCCCCCACCCCGCAACACTATTGCCCCCCACAGCCTTGGGTCCCTCACTGCCCCTGCTTCCTCCCAGTCTCCTCTCCAATCCCCCGTTACCTTTGTGTTCCATGCCTCAGGTTGCAGCAAAGATAAAGCCTGACAGCACCAGGGCAAAGGTAAGGGGGATATAGCAGGAGGAAGGGGAAGCAGCACAGAGGAGGGAGGGGGGAGATGGGGCAACAGGGTCCCAAGGCAGCAGGGTAGGGGTGGTGAGGGATGCAGGCAGCAGCTGCCTGCCCCTGCCCCATGCCGCCTCATACTTTATTGTAATATGAGGGCTTTGTTCCCCATGTTAAATGGGGAAAAACTCCTCACCTTTTAATCAAGTAAATATGATACTGAATGCAGAAAAGAAGATACAGAAAGTTGAGACAGACATACAAAAGCAAAGAGCATTCAGCAAAAAAAAATCTGGGGAAAAAGCAAACTCACTTAAGAGTTTTGTTTTGAATGGTTTATAAAAGATGTATTGCTTCGCCAATAATCTGA